TATCACAGAAATACATATATATATATATATATATATATATATTATATATATATATTATATATATATATATCATATATATATATATATATGTATATATATATATTTTTTAAACCTTAGTACCCGAACTTGAGCAAATTCGTGGGCAAAGGCAAGGTTTTTCATTTTTTTGCCTTTGCCCACGAACAGATCAGGGTTTGTAAACCCCAAACCCAGCACCCCGACCCTAAACCCCAAACAGGGCTTGAAACCGGCGCTCCTGAGGTTAATCTGCACCTCAAAACTGTTGAGGCCGCTGTACCCCTACTTCCTTTTAACGGATCCCTTGTAGAACCCTTGAGGGGAACCCCTCAGATCCCTATTCTAAGTATGGATGCCCTGTTGAAGGTGAAACGGTGAAACCGAAGATGTACAACACCATCGTCATAAACAGCTGCGTTGAGCCCCAAGTCCTGCATATCATGCAATATTGCCGTATGTTACCAGATATTGGCTTAATTGGATTATTTTATCTTTTCGTATGGTGTCTAGTCTCATGTATTAGATCATCTTGTATTATGTTGGTATTCATCAGTACACTATGTGATCTCCAACCCTAGTTAGGGCATGTACCCAAATCGTAGATACCCTGGCCTTCAAGCATTCTTTTTTGGTATTTTAGGGCCAAAGTATATATATATATATACACATACTATTGATGTGCACGGACCCTTAAATCCTACACCCTTGGCTACAGCACCTTAAAAGACCCCTTTCAAGGAACCCTCAAAAGTACATGGACCCTTGGGGCACCTGAACCCATCCAAGGGAGGCGGAGGACGTTTCCCTGCATTTCCCGTCCAAGCCGAAGAGGCCCCCAATGCAGCGCTGCTTGGCAGTCGATTAGCCCAAAGCATCGTAAGTGCTTGTAACGGGTTTGGGGTTTAGGGTTTGGGCATTAAGGTTTAGGCAGAATCTAGGGTTTCTACAGTAGGAACTATGATCATGGCTTGGGCAGGTATCCCGATGTAGGTATTTAGATCCCTAAGCCCTAACCTTCGATCCCTAAACCTAGGGACTTAGGACGCTTTGGGATCATTTTTGGCTTCAGAGGAGCACAGCTCTACACCTTAGGCTCGGGAAGAGGGAGAATACGACTTCCAGGGCCTAAATAGGGTTTAAGGGCTTAGGGTTAAGGGTTGACGGGGTTAATTACCGTGCATCTCGCCGGAATATACTTGTTTAGATGGCTTATACTTGTTTAGACGGGTTATATTTGTTTGGACATGCATCCTAAACCCTAGACCCTAAACNNGGCCAGATCTGGGTTTAGGGTTTAGGGTATAGGGTATAGGGTATAGGGTATAGGGTATAGGGTATAGGGTATGGGGTTTAGGGTTTAGGGTATAGGGTATGGGGTTTAGGGTCTAGGGTTTAGGGCGGGTGTGAAGCACCCCGGGCCGCGCGCTCGCGTCGCATGTCAACCCACCCCGGCCACCCACACTATACTCTATTAGGGTTGAGGGTTTCTCAGCTGATTTTTGTTTTCCACATTTATAATGGTAATGAATTTTCTTGGACAGTTGGCTCTTGGAGGTGTTAAGCTTGGAAAAGCCCTGGCGCATGGGAAAATCAAGTTCGGATTTGAGTACGGCTTACGGTGGTTTAGTTGGTCTCATAGAATAGTGTCGCGCCCGAAACTTTTTTCTTATGGTAGTAGTCATCTTAGGTGATGTCGACACGGAGCAAAAAGTGGTACTCAATTTGACCGAATAAACGGGTGTACGAATAACGAGCATATACTGTATCACCGGGCATGTGGTATGTGTTTAAAGCTAAAATCTTCTACTCTGAATCTAAAAATCGATATCGTAAATTCTAGGAAGAATACGGGGTAAATCCACACTCGGGGTCCCGAAGTCTCGAGGCCTTGCCTTTTCTGCTTCTGTATGGGATGGCAAGGTAGCGGTGAGGGACCGGCACATCCGCAATCTTAAGACATGAAATCTTACATCCAATGTAAAAAAAGTCCTAGAAGCTAGCTTCGGGCTGCTGAGTCTGAATGGTTCGGCTTTTTGCAGCTTCGAATACCAAGCAGTGAATACAATGAACCTGCGATAGCCCAAACCCAACGCTGAATGCGGGGTAAACTCATTCTCGGGGTCCTAAGTCCCGAGGCCTTGCCCTTTCTGGTTCTGTATGGGATTGCAAGTTAGCGGCAAGGGACTTGTGCATCACAAATCCTAAACGATTGATTCAGAGTAAGGGGTTATAGTCCCCAGGTTTCGGTAGTTTATCCGAACTGTTGGAAGGATGACGGTGCGGCACAGGAACTTCCAAGAGTCGAATGTGAATCAGTGAACTGAACACAATTTTGCTAGCTTAAATTAAATCCTACACTGAATACGGGGTAAACCCACACTCGGGGTCCCAAGTCCCGAGGCCTTGCCCTTTGCCTTTCTTTCTCGGATGGCAAGGTAGCGAGGGACCCGTTCACGTTGTTCTGCCCAAAGGGGTTCTAATACTTCATTCGAGTCTTTGCGGCTTTCCTACACTTCTGATATTGAACGCTTACCTTCAGCAGCGACTGCTCAAACAGAACACAACCTAGCACTCAGCCCGCGCACTCGAAGCCATGTGCGGGCTTCAGTTTGTATGATTCATGCCGATAGTAATAAAACAAGCAGGCACCAATTGCACTTAGCTGTCAGGGCACCTGCAAGAGTGCTAGCAGTTCGGGCCGACAAGCGGCGCCGTGCAGGTCGGAAATGCATCCGGCATTTCAAGTTCCAACAGAGCACCTGCCAGGAGAAAGTCCGAGGGAGTGCGTCCTTTGGGAAGACGTCCTGGCAACGCTGGAAGGCAGAGCTATAGTGTCACGAGAAGAGTCTTGCTTGATACTGGAGAAAGCTTTTAAAGCGCTCGGTGCATGAGGCTGGTGGACGACCGTGCTTCTACAGAACCTTTTCAAGGAGAGCACGAAAACGAGCTGGCGGACACAACGTCGATGACAGCTGCTCTGGACTTCGTGGCCGGCCTCTGAGCAAGTGACAGAAGAATTGATGTGAACAGAAGCGCGTGCTCGCAGGCAGAGCATCTGCACTGCACCCGTGCTGCATTAACACGGCACCTCCTTGCCGTGCGCGCCTTCATCTACCAGGGCTACACAGTGAACCTCAATAAGGAACTGGAGGCAAGGTCGAAGAGCTCAGGAGATAGGTGACCGGCCGGAGTCGACAGGCAGAAGTGGGCGCCAAACAAGCAAAGGAGGAGCGGCCGGCACAAGTCGCGCGCGCAAATGCCCGGGCTTCAAAGGCGGCGGCTCAGGCCTGCGAGGTAGCTAAACAGAACTCTCAGTTGAAAGCCTCGACTCCCGCAACGCCGAGGCGAAAGCCAAAGAGCTGCAGCAGCTGCAGCGCGAGGTCGCCAAGCGGCGCCAGGCCAGCAGATAGCGAGGCGGTTGTAGCTCGTAACCCAGCCCACTGTAAACCCCTCGTTAGGACGAACAGCGCTGGAGAGAGACAGCGAACACGAACCGCAACAACAACAAGCGGACTGACCTCAAGAGAAAAGCGGAAGAGGGAGACGAAGAGGCTCTCCTCGCCGAAAGGCACATGATTCAACACAGAGGCAGGGCTACAGAACTGCTGCCATTGCAGGCCAGAAAGAAACTCCGAGAGCTTCGCGACGCCGACAAAAAACGACAAAGCGACAAACGCCTCCGAGACCAAGCAAAGGACCTCCGTGCAAGCTGTGCTGTTTTGCTTTTGAAAGCACCCTCGTCAGGAGGCGACGCCGGAGCTTGTGGCCTTGGAAGGCACACCACCGGTACGTGGCAAACAAGCGTTCGGGGTCTGTCGCTCGACGTCAGCGACCCCTCTTAGTTTATGGTATGGGGTTTAGGGTCTAGGGTTTAGGGTTTAGGGTTTAGGGTTTAGGGTGGTTTTACCATGGAGTTCTTGCTCGGTTGCGGTGTTTCTACAGCTGGATCTTTACAGGCCACGTGCTGCCTTCTGAGAAGCTGCTGAGCGCTTGAATGGAAAAAGATTCCTGCATGCCAACCCCCCTTCGAATCACCACTCACCTGTCCCAAACCACCGATCTCAAAAACGAGACCAAGAAGAACAATAATAATAACAAGAAGAAGAAGAAGAAACACACACACCCTGCATGTTGATTCTGCAGACGTAAAATCTTTCAATCCATAAAGATGCAAACCCAGACCCAATTCTGAATTCTTGAGCTGTCGGTAGCCCCAAACCCTAAGCCCTAATCCCTAAACCCCAAGCCCTAAACCTAAACCCCAAACCCTAAGCCCTGAACCCAAAGGACGCCCAAGAGCTTCTCAGCTCTGAGGAGTGGTCTCCGTGACGAACCTCGCGCCGCAGACGACGGTCTTTGACCTCCATGCTGCTGAGATTTGCCAACGAAGGGGATTTAGGGTCTGAGGATTTTGGGTTTTAGGATTTAGGGTTTAGGGTTTAGGGTTTAGGACGTATGGGTTGGGGTTTAGATAGTTCAAAATCTCCAACATCATGTCCAAGAATAGCTACCAATACTAGTCTCCAGGCTTCCTTCTATTAGAACTGCTAGAACATGCCCCTCAAACCCCATTCGAAGCCATTCAGGCCCCTTCTGTGCGCAACGCCAGTCTTCTAAACCCATGAGTAAATCCCACATCCAAGCCGCACTGAAACCCGCACTAGGACACCCTAAACCCTAAACCCCGCTAGGATTTTCTGGAGTAGGTGACTTGGGCATAGGGGATTGGGATGCTGATGTTTATGGGGCCCCAGGTTGGTCCGGTGACGGTTTCGGGTTTAGGGTTTCCTGCAGCAGCGCGAAACGCCGCAGCTCCCTGCTAGCGCTTCGGAAGGAAAACCCCACTTTTCTGACAGCACCCCAACATCCCGAACCTGAGTACCGTAGCAGCTTTTTTGAACACTAACAGTCCCTTCATAGCACCCTAGGCCCTGAACCCCATAATACCCTTTATATAAGTGCCTTTATTGTGGCCCCTTATTGAAGTACCCTTATAGCACCCTGAGCAAATCCCCAAAGCCCTAAGCTCTAAACCTTCATAGAACTCCTTTTCCCTAAACCCTAAACAAGTAACCCTAAACCCCTGAAGATGCCTAAACCAATCCCGAAGAAAAAAGCAGCCCGCCAAGGCCATCTTCAGTTTCATGCATGGGCTGGTGGCTGTGCGCATTCTTCGAGATCAGGACCTCCTGGGCCCCCGAAAGCCTAAACCCTAAACCCTAAACTCGGAAAGATGCGCTATTAATTACACCTAATAAAAACCCTAAACTTGCCGGTTTTGGGGGGGTTTGGGGTTTAGGGTTTAGGGTTTAGGATTCGGGGCTTCGGCTGCTGGGTTCTTGTAAGGGCTCTATTGTTTGTTCTACAGGCTTGTCGGGCGTAGTGGTGTAGGGTTTAATGTAAGGGTCCTTAATAACTAGAATAGGGTTTTGGGGGTGCATTACATTATGATAATACTTTAAAATCATAATGAGGAACCCCCCCCAAAATAGTATTAGTAATTTTTTAGGCCCCCATATTACCACCCTCGACCCTGAACCCTAACCCTAAACCTGTGAAGTGTTTGGCCCAAGAGGCTGTGGCTCGACCCCTGCGGAGAGAAAGTCTCAAAGCACTTTGAAAAAATCCCTATAAACCCTAAACCCTTTTTGTTACGGGATTCGGAGGTTCAGGCTTTGGGAGCTTCCCAAGTTCGGCAAAGGCAGAGGGTTTTAGGGAATTCAGGGCCCTTTGCGTTTTATCGGTCTCTGAGCTGTTTAGGGTGTAGGGTTCAGGATTTAGTGTTGCAGATCGTTGAAGCATTTTGGTGTAGCAGGGTTCTACATGACCTGCGAATATGTATGTT